AGGCCTTAAAGCCCCCATTTAAATCGTCTAATAAACAAAAGTAAATAAAAGAAATTAGAGGCCTTAAAGCCCCCATTTAAATCGTCTAATAAACAAAAGTAAATAACGGAAGTTAGAGGCCTTAAAGCCCCCATTTAAATCGTCTAATAAACAAAAGTAAATAACGGAAGTTAGAGGCCTTAAAGCCCCCATTTAAATCGTCTAATAAACAAAAGTAAATAACGGAAATTAGAGGCCTCAAAACACCCATTTACATCGTCTAATAAACAAAAGTAAATAACGGAAGTTAGGGATCTTAAAGCACCTGTTACGTATCTGCTTGTTTGTTTGTTTCCGGTAGAAATTCTTTCCGAGGAACTTCAGCGATACAAGTCCTTTCTTGATTAAACCAGTTTATTCTTCCTCGATACAAACTGTTAGTGCACAGAAATCCCCCAATCCGTACGTTTCTCGTCACTTTAAACTTAATTACTTTTATAATACACGCTATAAATCACAGCGATTCACAATCTCGACCACTGCAAAACACACACTTTACGGCTCACTAACTCGAAACTAACAGAATCATAAATTACACGGAACTCAAAGTAACTACTGCTCTCTCTTCATTGATTCCTGCTGGCTTTTCTGCCAGGCTTATATACTAACGAAGAGGACATCTCGAATACACTCGGACTTCCCCGATCATTCGAGAAACTCATCACACACGTTACCAACGCCAGCAGCGTCACGTGAATTCCGCTGTCGTAACACACCCATTTAAATCGTCTAATAAACTAAAGTAAATAACGGAAATTAGGGGCCTTAAAGTCCCCATTTAAATTGTCTAATAAACAAAATTAAATAACGAAAATTAGGGGCCCACTGACTTGATGTTCAGTTTTAACGTCTAGGTTTTGTACAATCTGGTTTTCCGTCAGCTGAATACATTCTAGGTAACTTGTCCACTGACTTGATGTTCAGTTTTAACGTCTAGGGTTTGTACAATCTGGTTTTCTGTCAGCTGAATACATTCTATGTAACTTGTCCACTGACTTGATGTTCAGTTTTAACGTCTAGGGCTTGTACAATCTGGTTTTCTGTCAGCTGAATACATTCTTGGCAACTTGCCCACTGACTTGATGTTCAGTTAAGAATGTATTCAGCTGACAGAAAACCAGATTGTACAAGCCCTAGACGTTACAAAATATAGCAAAAGAAGATAACGTTTAAAGATGGCGCTGGACATTTTTTTTCATAAAAGCTATTGTTTATGCTAAGGTTTCAAGGTTTATATTTTGTAGTATTTCGAAGCTTTAAAACTTTTATCTTGTGATGAAAATGTATAAAACGCAGAAGATAACCACTAAACAAATATAATCTTATTTACATCCTACGTATTAGCCAACGAAATTGTGACTTGCTAGGTAGAGCCAATCACGTGCTTACACGAAAGCAATTACTCCATCCAATGACATTGACACAGTTTTATAGTTAACGAATCAAATGATGTTTAGTCGCGTTACTTACTGAGTGGTTAATAAGATTCAAACTGAAGTATTGGTAATGAGACATCACTCAGCCATGCCGAAGGAACAGTTGTGGACATAAAAAGGAGAAGGTGTATGTCAGGACCACGTAATGTTAAACTAAGAGGATATATTCAAAGAGAGAAGAAAACCTCTGCTGAAGATTGTGCTATTTGAACCAGTTCCACTAACAATACTATTATTCCAAAGGTGTGAACCTGATGAATCTCCTCCAGATGACAGTAAAACTGGTAGAAGCTACATTTTTACTCCTCATTCTCGAGAAAACCAGATTGTACAAGCCTAGACGTTAAAACTGAACATCAAGTCAGTGGACAAGTTGCTACGTAATGGTAAACAACGCAGTAATTCTTTAAACACACAAAGAAATGATGAAAATAATAAAAGATTATATCAAACCACTATCAGATCCGAGGGGAGGCACTCCTCCAATAAACTCCCATGGTGCCCCAAATATACACGTGAGCGCCCTGTGGTACAAGAGATTTACAAGAACAAAGGCCAAGCTAATGTGTTTTACGTAACATTTAATTCTATTCATTTTTATCTTGTTTTTCATTACAAAACGAGTCACATTTTGAGATGTCGTTCACCCTTCCTTTCAAACTGATAGATTGGATCATCCACTACCTTAAACGGCACAGGTAGGCCTTCATCTCAATACGGCCCGGCATGGCCAGGTGGTTAGGGAGCTCGACTCGCAATCTGCGG